CTGGGGGGGGGGGCGTGTGGTACCTTTGTACCCCTTCAGTCTTCTCGGGCTGCCCGTCGATGGGCTGGAGGCGGGTGGGGGACACCCTCACGAGCCTCCTGCGACCCCCGCTGTGACAGCCCGGCTCCAGCGTGGGCTGCGTGGAAAAGGAGCGTGACAGCAGCACCTGGGTCCCTGCTCACTGTCCCTCTCCACCCCAGCACGTTTCCTCAGGCCCGCTCTCCCCTGGCAAACGCTGTAAAAAATTACATTTTGAAGCGAGCTGTGGGGCTTACTCTTTTTCTGATGATGCTAAATTTAAGCTCTCAATCTTCTTATCTCCTGTGAAGGCAGCGCCATCTAATCTCCTGTGAAGGACCGGATTCTGTTGCAGAGCTCCTCGAGGCACCGTTCTGCTTGGCCTTCACCAACACAAACAAGACGTAGCGGTTGTCGGGTGGGAGGCACGCTGCAATTCCCTGTTCCCAGGAGATTTAGACCAAACGCAAAGAAGAGGGACGAAAAAAACAAAACAAAACAACCAAAACACTTATTAAAATATTTACTATTAGAAACGTTGCTGCTTAATCTCGCCTCCCGCTCGCACGGAGGAGCCAGTCCAGGCCCCACCTTGTGGAAGCTGCAGAGCAAAATGCAAAATTGTTTAGTGGAACTAGATTTAGTCTTTTGGCACGGGTGAGATGTCTTGGTCTTCTCTGAAAAATTACCAGTTCTGTTATCATCAAACTGAGAGCATAACGGAAGAAGACGGTCAGTAGAGTGGTTACCTCACCAAGATAAAGCAAGAAGGAGGACTGGAAACTGCAGTGTCTGCTTGACCCTTCGCCGTGAGTCCCTGAGACATCTGCCAACAGGACCCTTCCCACATAAACCTCGGAAGCAGCAGCAGTGGGAGGAATGAGGTGAAACCCCAGTGCTGCCCGGCCACTGGTTAGTTCCTTTCGTCCTTCCTCCAAGGAAATCTCTGTGTCTGCTTTGCTTTCCCTGCGAGCTGCCTCTTAAACCTCTGCTGTAAGACACGGCTGCAGTAGGGGGCCGGGTGATTTTCCCCTTGCTCAGCTCCTTAGGACTGCGATAGGCTTTGGGTCTATCTGATTTTAGTGAGGTGTCCTGGCAGGTGATGATGGTGTTGGGAAGAGGGTGTTACTTGTATTCAGCACAGCTGGGGCATCACGGACCCTATAAATGAGACCCTTCCACAGGGAAAAATGCCCAGGGAAGTGCCAGCTCTGCCTGCTTGGTACCCAGGTCAAGAGCCCTTTCCCAGTGAAGCTGCACTCTCAGTCACTACCTTTTTCCAGGCTAAACAAAGAATATCTGTGGTTGACTGCTCCCGTTGCACCAGTACAAGAAGAGAATCCAGTTCATCCCTCCTGCCAGCACTGAGCTGCGCCAGGTTAATTTTCCTGCCCTCCCTTTCCAGGCAGCAGGCAGTAACCTACATTGCCTGCTCACTTCGTGCCCAGGGGTAGGGGAGAAGACGTGAGCTCTCCTGGCAGGAGTGCAGGGCCGTCAGCGGGAGGATAATTGCAGTGACTATTTCAGGGTACAAGTTGTCTGGGCAGGTAGGTCAGGTGTTTACAGCAGTGGATGAGCCAGACAGAGAATTACTGTCTGTACCCTGTGAATCTTAGCAGTTTAATATGGCAGCACTTCACTAGTTGTGGGATCTGTCCCTCACTGATGAGCGAGCGAGAGCAGCGTGTTTGCCGAGCTGGGACTTGCACACGTTTCCTAAAATAGTCGGTGAAAGGAGATCACAGAATCTAAGGGTGTGAGGTAAATGGCACGTAGGCTGCCCAGGGGACTGTTGGCAGCGGCTGGCGGTGCCCCAGCTCTGCTGTGACAGCAGCCGTGACGGGGGACCCTGGCTCCAGCTGGAGACAGATGTCCACTGGGCTGCTAGCAGCCAGCACCGGGTTTGGGACAGGCTGGTGCACACTTGGTCTAATCCAGAAGGTGGCAATGGCAATCCACAGACACTGGCTGGCGTGGAAATGGGGATTTCTTGGCGGTATGGCCCTTGCATTTACGGGATATTTTCAGATAACTGCTCTGAAGAGGCAGCGTGGTGGCTGCTTCTCTGCATGTGCTGATGGGGGAGTCAGCTCTTCTCTCAGGAGCGATGCCAAACTTTACAGAAAATATACTTTACTGGGAAATGTGGCCATTTCCCAGGTATATTTTGGTTGATTTGTAAGGTACAATCCATTTGAATGTTTGTGCAGTTCCCCTTCCCTTCCCTTCCCTTCCCTTCCCTTCCCTTCCCTTCCCTTCCCTTCCCTTCCCTTCCCTTCCCTTCCCTTCCCTTCCCTTCCCTTCCCTTCCCTTCCCTTCCCTTCCCTTCCCTTCCCTTCCCTTCCCTTCCCTTCCCTTCCCTTCCCTTCCCTTCCCTTCCCTTCCCTTCCCTTCCCTTCCCTTCCCTTCCCTTCCCTTCCCTTCCCTTCCCTTCCCTTCCCTTCCCTTCCCTTCCCTTCCCTTCCCTTCCCTTCCCTTCCCTTCCCTTCCCTTCCCTTCCCTTCCCTTCCCTTCCCTTCCCTTCCCTTCCCTTCCCTTCCCTTCCCTTCCCTTCCCTTCCCTTCCCTTCCCTTCCCTTCCCTTCCCTTCCCTTCCCTTCCCTTCCCTTCCCTTCCCTTCCCTTCCCTTCCCTTCCCTTCCCTTCCCTTCCCTTCCCTTCCCTTCCCTTCCCTTCCCTTCCCTTCCCTTCCCTTCCCTTCCCTTCCCTTCCCTTCCCTTCCCTTCCCTTCCCTTCCCTTCCCTTCCCTTCCCTTCCCTTCCCTTCCCTTCCCTTCCCTTCCCTTCCCTTCCCTTCCCTTCCCTTCCCTTCCCTTCCCTTCCCTTCCCTTCCCTTCCCTTCCCTTCCCTTCCCTTCCCTTCCCTTCCCTTCCCTTTTTGTCCATTCCATGCTAGACCATGACATTCCCAAGCAGCCAGTGCTTCCCCAGCCACAGACCCCCTCACCCCTGCTCTGCTGCCCTCTGGCAATAGCTGCCTGCCAGTCTCCTTGGATCTAATTACAGAGACATTTGGGGGTGAAAAAGCATCATGTTCCCTCTGTCATTACCTTTCTAGTACATCCAGTCACCTCTCAGGCTTCTTCCATGCAAGGGAGGGATAAAAGCACATAGAGGGAAGCCGGTTAGCGGAGAGGAGAAGCTCCACGCTGGGTGCCCAGCAGAGGGTGGTGTCAGCCTCTGCGAGGGGGTCAGCAGCCTCAGCCCTGGCTGGCTGTCCTTCCCTGGCCGTCTGTCCCAGCAGTGCCAAGGGGCAGGAGAAGGGAGCACCAGCTCTAGCACAAAATTCAACCTCTCTAATTGATGTAAGCTCCCTTTCAGCTGTAGGTACCTCCTGACAGCAGCGTCCAGGTCCTTTCCGTGTGCCCTGTCCTGCTTCAGCTCATTTCTATCATCTGCAACTCCCATTAGCGTGTCTGCTGGATACATACTGTTCACCCGGCCTTGCCTTACAGATTTATTTTTTTTTTTTTGTCCTGCGATCAAAAATACCTCTGCCATCAGCTGTTTTGACTGTTGCAGAGGTAGGCGAGAGGTGTACTTGCTTCAACACCTCCCACACAGAGGCTGGCTTTGCAGCTGCAGTGATTGTTCCTAAGTGTCCAGGGGCCAAGTACGCTTTTTATTACACAGTAAAAAAGCCAGGCTGTAGCTAGCAGCTTTAATTATACACATATAATAAACTCCTGTGTTGTCCTCTACCTACAGACCTGACCTCACAAGGCAGACTAGTACAGAGTCAACCAAAATTATCCCTGGCAGGACTTCAATCCTTTCAGTAGCCTTGTGATTCCTGCCCAGTGGGTGCTGTTGGAGACCTAGCGGGAGCCCGAAAGAAAACCTTCACAAAGAACTAAAAGAATGAGAAAGTTATTCTGAGAAATCACCTCCTCAGGGTACGGGGAACTGTGGGCTGAAATCAGCACGCTCCTGAATACACCGCGGGCAGGGTGTAGCTCTGACTGTGACGGCGACATGTGGATGCTGCAATGGCATGCGGGAGGAGCAGTGGGTCTTGCACACCAAACCGGAGTGCCAGCACATCAGGCTAAAAGAAGTGCCTGCTTAAAAAAAATTTAAAAAAATTAAAAAAAAAAGGGCCTACCAAACTTTCCCTGGAATATTAAACAATTGTTTTTCATTCTTTGGAGGGATCCTCCTTCCTACATTGAAAATGAAGGATCATGCCAGTAGAGTCGCTCTTTCTTCTTTATCTCCGCTTGGCTACATTTGGAAGAGATTAGCGTTGCATTTGTTTGACATCCAGGTTAATCGCTTCCCTTCGTCCCAGTCTCGGCTTCCGGTTTTGGCTATCTGGAAAGCCAGGCTGGAAATTAATCGACAAACTCTGGGGAGAGGATCTCGGAAGAAAACTCAGACCAGATTTGAAAAGAGGCTGTTCTAAACTGTGCTGATTTGGATGGAAGCCACCAGTGAAAAATCAGAGATTTTTCAAGAGTTTGCTGCCAAGGAGTTAATGGCTGAGAGTTGAGGTTTTTAATAAATACACTGGTAATTAATTATAGGAGTTGTCTTCATGTTTGAAAGTCAAGGAATACGATAGCTTATTTGGGTTAAACATCTCCCGTCCACTATTTGCAACCCAAACATGAGCTGAAAGGGAGGGGGGGCGCCCTCAGACAAAGCGTGTGGGTGAGAGGAGCCCCGAGTCGGGTCCTGCCGCTGCTCCCGGCTCCCCCCGGCGAGCTGGGGCCGTGCGGGTGCAGGGGCGGTGTGTGTGGGGGTCCCTTTGGAGGGGGACACACAGACACCCCCCGCTCCTCCGGCTGCAGAGGGGAGGGATGAAGCGGCACCGCGGCTCGACAGGGTTTCCGCGGACCGGGGAGCGAAGCGGCGTCGGCGGGAGAGAGCGAGTGGCTACAGGAAAAAAAAAAAAAAAAAAAAAA